AGGTACAATATTGCTACAGCTGTTTGAAGATAAGTGGCATCCAGTTACCTACAGGTCATTCAAGTTTGACCAGACCCAATGAGCCTATGGCATGCTGGATAAGAAGATATTAGCCATTATCTGAGTGTTTGTTCATTGGTGGCAGTACTTAGAAGAAATAAAGTATTCTGTAGAGATCATTATGGACCATGCAAATCTTTGTTCATTTATGAAGTCCATAAACAAGATAGCACAATAATGACATGTAAGGTGAATAGAGATTCTTGGGGTGTATGACTTTGAGATCCTCTACTGCCCTGGGAAGCATAACCCAGCTGATGCATTATCATAAAGACCAGATTATATTAAACTAGAAGAAGACATTGGTCTGCTGATATATATGCTCAAACAATGTTATGTGAATGGTGTTCCAGAGTGGAACCCATTTGAAGAAACTTTCTTTAATGAAGAAGGTATTCAAGTATGTGCTGCTTGTGCTGTCCAAAGCAGTGGGGTAGAGATGGCACAGGGGAGATCTGGTGACACCAAGATGGTTGAGTTAGTCCAGGGAGCACCAGCCAAAGATGCTGGAGAGACTTAATGAAGAAATTGCAGGAGATTCTGGATTCCCTGTGTGTGTGTGAACATGGTGACAAAAAATGAAAAGATCTATAATAAACCAACTATGAGTGTGTTGAACCTGCTGCTAGAAGCACAGAGAGATGATCCCTCTGTACAAGTGAGATTTGCTGAGGCAGGATCTCAGCAGTCAGAGTGAAAAATAGACAAATGAGATCTTTTGATAAAGAGTGGCAGGATCTACATCTCTAACAATTCAGCTCTAAGGCAGGAACTACTACAAGTCCACCATGACAACTCATTCACAGGTCACTTTGGCATGGTGAAGATGTTTATCTTGCTCTGGCAAAAATATAATTGATAATTGATGAGACAAGATGTCCAGATATACATATGTGAATGTCAAACCTGCCAATAAGAGAAGACTTCAATGCACAAATCATATGGATTGCTCACATTATTGCTGACACCCAGTGGTCTCTGGTGTTTAATATCCATGGACTTTATAATGGATCTTCCTCTGAGTAAAGAGAAGAGGAACCCATACAATGCAGTCCTAGTTGTTGTGAATTGATTTATGAAGCTTGCATGTTTTCTTGTGTATAAAAAGAAGATTGATGTGCCAGAGTTGGCAAACCTTCTATTCAGAAGAGTGTTTAAAGACTTTGGATTTCCAAATAATATTGTTTTGGACTGGAGATCTGTTTTCACAAGTGAATACTGGTCAGAGCTATGTTTTCATATGAAAGTTAGATGAAAACTTAGCATGGCATTCCACCCACAAATGGATGGCCAAACAGAGGCACTGAACAAGATTTTGGAGGGATATCTTTGTGTCTATTGTAGCCATAGGCAAGATGATTGAGAGGAGTGGCTTGTGTATACAGAATTTGCATACAACAGATCAGAACACTCTGTAATGCACATGTCCCTGTTCAAAGCAATATATAGCTTCAAACCTAGGGGCTCAGATGAGATTCAGGAGTCAGTTAATGATGACAATGATGCACAGATGATGTCTGATGGAAGACTGAGAATGATCTCCATGTTAAGAGATAGTCTGGTAGAATATTTGATGAAAGCAAAAGAGAATCAAGCATGGTTCTATAACTGAAGATGTCAAGATAAAGTGTATACACCTGGTGATGAAGTGATGTTGTCATCAAGAAACCTATGAACAATATATTCTTGCAAGAAGTTAGTATCAGATTCATGATGTTTTCCATGTCTTATTGTTGGAACTGTACCATATGAGAATGGGTGAGGCACCAACACATTCTCCTGTGGTACTGGTAGATGATCATCATGAGTGGGAAGTAGATGAAATCTTGGATGACAAAGCACACTACTGCAAGAGATGTTATCTAGTGAAGTGGAAAGGATTCCCTATTGAGGAATTGATGTGGGAATCTGAGAAAAATCTTAAAAATACACAAGAAACTCTTAAGAATTACCTAAAGAAAAGATGAAATTACAAGAAGATAAATGAATCTATATACAGAAAAAAAGATAAATGTGACATGAAACAAACATAAAGATCATGATGCACCTACAAAATCAAGAATTTAATGGTGAGAAGATATATTACAAGAGCACCTGAGACACAGCTACAATGGTAGCAAACCAGCTATAGATGAGTGAGGCTCAGAAGTCACAGGTATGTTTGGTATAATAATAAATGAAATCACAACAGAAGATGCAGTCACAGAGAAAGATATTACAGATGAAGAAGTATGAAGAGAATGAAGTGTTTCTACAATACTCTGAAAACCAGAAGAAACAATGTTGGTTAGATAATCAATAGAAGATGTGAGATTGGCCTAAGCAGTAGTTAGTCTGAGAACAAGTAAGATGGTACAGAAGATTTATGAGACTGATTTCTATACTGTCTTAAAGAACTTGAGTTCTACTTGTCAAACAAGTTGTAAGATAATCAAGTGAGACTTGAATGTTTGCAACTTTATTTTCTATCTGAGAGAGAATAGTATGAACTGAGCTTGATGAATAAGAAAACTCAGATAAGCTGTCTTTGATAGATTCTATCTCAGACATGAGGTTCATGGTCTTGGCTACATAATGTGAGGCAGAATAATAATGTTTCATGGAAGATTCTTTGACAGTAGAAATGATCTGGTGATAGTGATGTTTAGTGGCTTCTGAGTTGAGCCCATGAAATTCATGCATGAGTATACTCATGCACTTAATGTTGTACAGATGATGTAGATTAACTGTGTCAAAACTATAGTATTCTTCTTGAAGTTGCAAGAGCTGATGAACTAGTTTGATAGTGGATTCTGGAATCTACAGCCATGTCAGAACAACAAGAAGAATGAATAAAGATGCACTTATATCATAACAGATATAAGTTTGATGTTCTAAATAATGAGAACAAGATTTCTTCTCAGTGTTCTATAGATAAGACTTGCCTTCATTCAGGTGGTCTGTGAATATTAAGTAAATGCAGATGAAGCATGAAAGAGTGTCTTTTTTGTTATGCATAACAGGGTCTTTTGACAACAACATTATAATGAGTTATAAAATGAATGAGAAACAACACCTGAGCCCAAACAAAGCAGAAGAAAAGAAGAAAGAAGAGAGTCAGGAACTCTCTATTTATATCTGTTATAATGCACCAAGGTTGCTAGTTCCATGACTTGTTAATAAACAATGTGACAATGAACAACAGATGATATAGTAATCAGATAAGCAAACAAACAAAGAAATGAGTATGTGATGAAATACTGGACTTTTGTAATAAAATAATTGCTATTCTATAATGAAGGATGTCTACTGCAACTGGTGGCAATATGCATGCAGGATGTCTATATAGACAAGCAGTGAGTAATGCAGAAGCTTATATATTCAAGAATCTATAATGCTCCACCAATGATAGAGGAGCTATAATGATGTATGAAAAACCACTTTGGTGGCCCTATGCCTTGAAGTCTGAGGCCTCTGGGGGGGGGATAGTGTTATGAATGTAGATCTAGACCAATCAAGCATTGGACAATGTTGGATGTTCAGGAGTATTCATGTGACCCCAATGCTGAATGTATAAGAACCACATGATTTGCATGAATCATGAGAACCCCAGTATTCAGTCTCTGAGTGAGAGGACCCCTACATTTTATGCATGACTCTCTCCCATCAGTTGCAGGCACTGTATCTACTTAGCTCTTTTGTATCCCTAATCCTGGGAAAACCTACATGACCTACGACTGGTTCCCCTAACAATATTAAAAAATTTGGGAGACATCTTGTGCAAGAGAGCTTATACTTTATGTTTTGAAAGAAAGAGCTTTATATAATCAAGAGGTAAATCTGAAACAAATAAATATTCAGAATATTTGAAATATATATAGCTTGTAGGCTTCAAAGTAGAAATAAACTTAGCAGTATTGATATTCTTCTTTTTTGAAAGAATTTTTATAGAATTTCTGTCTTTCTTTATATGATATCTCCCACTATAGACTGGACAGGACTTTCATGCTCCAGCAGTCTGATATTGGAAGATATTTCTTCTGTCAGAGAAGATTCACTTATTATAGCATATTTGAAGACTAAATTTACAAGATTTTTTGTGACTGTAGAGAGAAGAAGAAGAAGAATTCAAGATATTATTATCACTTGTGTTTTGATAATCTGCTGAACAGCAGCAACCTTGGCACTCAAGAAATAGTGATGAAGAACCAATGTAATCTTAATGTTGTAAAATCTAAAAATTAAAGCTTCTGATTTGCTCTCTTGTAGAATGTTTCTTTAAGTAGCTATATTGAAGATTTAATGTAATTATCTTTGACTGCTTATTTATGTTACTCAGGTAGCTAGTTATTAACTTGAATATACTAATAATTAGACTCTCTGGATTTGAAGGCAATATTGTAGCTAGAAAAACAGATTCTCTTTGAAGAGATCTAGAGATTTAACAACTTATTTAAATCTTTGATCAGTTTTTTGCTTTTCTTGATGATTAAAAAAAGAGAAAGAGGCTGTATTTATGCTTAGCTTTCTAAGTGAAGGAAATAAAAATCATGTAAAGTAAGATCTATAAGTGACTTATTCAAGTAAACTAATTACTGGAAAAGATAAAATTGAATTCCCCTTCACTTTGCAATTGCTTTACTATTCCATTTAGAAGATAAGAAGAACTATTGTGTGGTAAAGAAGCTTATAACCTGTTGGAGCATGGAAAGCTAATCTTGGTTGTGTGTTACAAAAGAGGCTAGCGACATCTCATCTCTTACAGTGAGATGGAGCTTGGCAGCGGAAAAGAGCTGGACCAAGAGTGATCATGTGAGGTCACATGCGCGCTAAACCCAAAAGGGTTAGGGTGCGCGAACACCTGCATAGCTGCTGACAAAGCAGCTGGGATCGTGGATGACATAATCAATCAATCAATCATTCTTACCTAGTAACTCAGTACTCCATAAAAGAGATAATACAAAGTACTTTGCTCTCTGCTATCTGGTGTTTTGGAGCGGCACAGAAAACCTTTTGGCTTTTGTATTAATTCACCTTGTTGTGAATATAAGATTATGGGTGTTTGATCTTTATTCCAAAGAGTGGCAGCCTTCCCCTCTGTTAAGGATGCTGAAGCTTTTTAAGGAGGCCAAGGTCAATATTCGACCTAACACATCAATTGTTAATATCTCAATACCATCCCCGCAACACACCCATGGTCGAATCGAGGTTTCAACTCAAGATCCGTCATCCCGTGCGCAGGTTGCTCAGGTCGGGGACACGTTTGCGAACGAACTCCTGGCCACACAAGCATCCGTCTATTGTCGCAAGCACAAATGTTACCCTCGATCTATACTTTGGAGAGTCATTGGGGCTGATCGGATCCTTGAAATTCGTTCTGTGGACTTAATAAAGAACATACATGATCATCAGGAGGCAGTTAATACGTTGCGGCTAGAGTTCCCTGACACTATCATACCTCATGGCGTGGCTTTCGCGGATGGAGATGACCATCATGGATTCAATATCTTTGTTATTACGGCTTCAAAACAGTTGTACACTATTGATATCCGATCACAATTTTTCCTAAGTCAAAGCCAAATCGACCGAAACGTCGCCAAATGGTGTAAGTCTTGCCGTCCCGCGCCATTGAACTTCGTTCAACCTCATCGATTGTATGCTGGCAGTCGTCTTGAGCTTTTTATCTCGATTAATACCGGCAGTTTACTGCGCCTAACACGAAATTCTGAGGACGATGGTAAGCAGCATTGGACCACTATCAAACTTAAAACTTGTTCAGGACTAGGAAATAACAGTTTCACTAATATAGGATCTGGTTGGTCCCTTCTAACTCTCGATGAAAGATCGTGGGGTGCTTCCTTGCGTGGACTAGTTAACTGGGGCAACTCGAACTCGATTCAGTATAACGGCAAATCTTTGGACCCGAATACACCCAATGCTATTTCTACCACTCCAGATCAAGCGTTTGCCTTCGTTGTCTCTCTAAACCATTCTATCAAAGCCTGGAATCTGGCTAGCCATCGATTGGTTGCATCGAAAGACCTGCTGAACCGGACGAGCCGTCAACGAGATGTGCATCCTATTACTCTTAGTCCGGCTGAATGTACCTTCATCAAAATTTTTACAGCTGAGAGAGCTCTTCCAGGTGGTATGTACTACATGATAACGTACTCTCCTTACGACGAAGGTCAATTCAAATTCTGGGTCCTGAAAGGAAGTTTGACTGGCCAATTGGACATTGAAGACCTTTTCCCCGATATCAAATTACAAGCCGTGGATCCTGAACCCCCCGGGAGCTTGTTTTGGAATATAGTTGACTTCGAAATCGCGTCTACTGACGATGGAAGAAACATGGTCTTATGGGTACTGTGGAGAAGCAGTACATTCTACCAACTGTACAGCATACAGTTTGATCTATTGGATTTGCCAAATGCGTGGCGCAAAAATTGGACCAAGATGGCCTTGGAGCTCCATCATGACCTACCGCCGACTTTGTCACATCCTTGTACGACGGATGTTACTTCGGAATGGTTGGAATTTATTTTCTTCCCAGGAAGGTACCCCCCCCAGGTGATGGAAACAGCACTGTCAATTTTCTTACAATCTGTAAGGGCTGGTGTGGGACGTGGCTTCCAGGGTGAACCAGAAAATTTGCAAGAACGTATATATCGCGCCATACGGGATTCAGTGGCTTTATGCAAATCCTCAGACGCGATTATTGACTATTCTCAGTATTTTAACGATCTGGACACGGCCTGGCGCCAATTTTGGCTATTAGTTGATGAAATCAATAAGAAGAGATTTCAGCCGATCTCGTTCGCATTTGATTTCAATTCAAACCTTCCGTGGATAATATTCAGCGACAGCTGCGCCTCAGTTCGCGAATGCACTAGCACCGAGATTATCCTCCACAATGAATCTGATTTGCTTCGCAACAATTTACACCACGCGAAGACAATCTGGCCACATCGCAATTTGGTTTTCGAATTAGGGGATCACCCAGATCAATCGGCCAAAATCATCGGCTTAGCAGCCTCATTTCGAAACAGATTGACGCAGGAACTCATCCAAAACTGCCATACGACATTGAATACTGAACTTGTAATGGAGCCATCGCTTTCCGCTTTGGAGCGGGTTACCGCTTTTCATGATCGATGTGGATTTGCTTACCTTTTGACGGATAGCATGTACGACGCTATTCATGAAGATATCGAAAATTCTATTGGTTTTGATCGACTCCGGACCGATTCTTTTCTAGCCATCATTAATACAATTCCTTCGGGATTCCAAAGCACGGACTCGGGCTACTTATCTACGGAGTTTGGACGAGACGCTATTATGACAGGGGCAAGAGAGAGCATTTGTCTTACCAAACAAATCGTTTTCGATTTGCTACTGTTGATCGTTTTCATTGAAATAGAACTGCGCCCTGAAGCCATAGCGGAATTCAGCGGACCGGAGTTGTTTGATGCCCTCGTTGGTTTACTTAAGGAGTATGAAATTTTAAGCTGGCTCGTATCGAGGGTTCGTGTTTCCCAACGAAACCGAAGCATTGACCACGGTCGAGATGCGAAAACCCGGATCGCCGCAAACGTACAATTGGCACCGGCATGTGAGCGTAGAATCTCTATTTTAGAGGAGATCTTCGCGGTACATACCCGACTTCTAACTGGAAGCACCTCTCTGATGCATAGTCTTACCCAGCAGGTCTGTACCATTGTCTCTTGGACTATGAGTACGGGGAGGGTTTCATTCGAGCATATCCTGGTCTTTATTCAGTGTGGGTTGCTTGTTGATGGCAACATAGACCTTGCGACTGACTTCCTATGCTGCCAACCAGACACAGGCTGGTCCACTTATGTCAAAGGGCGGCTTTGTTTAGCCAAATGTGACTTCGACGGGGCGGTGGGTAATTTTCAAAAAGCGTCTCACATTCTATGTAAGTGTATCATGCCTGCAATTCTGTGCCACCAGCAAGCTAACTTTCACGATACCATTAGCTTACGGAAGGCCCATTGGGGATTTACACGAAATGTCAGCGAAACTCGTTGATATGACCTCGGTAGCAAATTTTCATAGCGGCCTTTCTAACTATTTCCTCCATATCACGGGCCTCTTTGAACGAGCTCAATCATTTATTTCCGCTGCTTTCTTTACTTCCCTTTCTTTGGAATTCGCCGAATATAACCGCGCCAGCACTCAGCCAGCTTCCAATCTCCGTGCGGAGTTGCCATCACGACTATTTCATTCCTACTTGAAGACTTATCACTTCGATGGAGTGTACATAGCCCTTTCAAGGGATCCGGACCCTGCATTTCGGCCATCAGCGCTTACATCCCTTCTTACGTCTGTGTTTCTTGCGTGTGGAACGACGACAAGAGGCCTGAAGAGAATGTTACGGCTCCCGCTGTCTCTAGAACCAGGGGCATATTGTCGGCTTGATGATATTTTGGCATCAATCACTAAGAAACGAGGGCTTCCCGATTTCCTCCCGAATGAACTTGGTTTATCCGCCGGTTCGATAGATTACCTTTCTACGCTGAAGGCATTTTACATCGCTCGAAATGACCTTCTCGCAGCTGCAAGTGTCTCATACCAAATGTTATGTCTATTACGTAATACAGATGACGGAGTGTCAGAAATGACCTACGCAGCGAGGACAAAGACCAAGAACAACAAAGATGCAACATTTGCTCAAAGTACACAAATACTGGGAGAACTACTTTCACTGACCAATTTATTGGCATCAATCAAAAGCAGCGAGGCTTATATACTTGTTGATCCAATGTCATTGCCCAGTGCACGTTCCAATTCCATTCCTACAACACAGGAAGGAGTTAGCATGATGGATCCAACGCCAACAGATCAGTTAGCTATGAGGCAACATTCAGTTACCACACAAATAGTTCTCACAGTGAATGACCTCCGGCGGGAATACCAGCTTGAGCTGGACAAAATTCTTAAAATACAAAGTGGAGATTGGGAATATGGTGAATTTTAGTATATTAGGTTGAAATTCCAGTAACTTATGTCTAAAAAGAGAAAAGAAAAGGAACTTAATAAAAGCTTATAGTTGGAAAATGACTTTAATTATTTACTAGAAAGCATTTTATACAAGAACAAAAGTGTAGTAATCAAAAGTGAATGTAAGAATCATACTTTACAGATTAGCATGACACTTGTCAGAGAAAATAAAAAATAATAATATTTGTCTTGAAATTCAAAGGAATTTAAAAACTACATAGTGTCAGGGGCCGAGCTGAAGCTACTAGCTAGGCTCTATATATACAAATGTATTGCTTGGAAAAAGGAAGAAGAGGGAGAATAGGTGAGCATGTGTACAATATCCACAACATTTGTGTGTAGTGCTAGGCCAAAAGAGGAAATAGGAACAAGGCCAGAAGAGGAGCTTGGCCTGAGATTCTTAGCATGGCATGGCATTAAAAGCTCAGCTCAAGAAGAATAAAGAATAGAGAGTTCAACTCTTTATAATATTTCTCTTTTGTTTCTCAGGTATTGCATTATTACTGATGCTTGTAAGTACTGGAGATCTTATCTTGATACTTACAGTGCTTTTATTTATCAAGAGCTACTGTCTCTTTCATAAGCATGATATTATTTCATATTAGGCATGTGTATTCTCTTTATTTGACAAGATATTCAAGATATTGATAATTTCTTTACTTTTTAAAAATCTTCTTCACTTTATACTTCTTTTTATTCTTGATTATTATTCCTGGTAGTTGTCAATCTAACTGCTGTTGACTAGAGAAGAGATCTGTAGCAGCTGGATAGAGAAGCTGCATATAGAAGATATTATAGATCTCTGAAGATATATTCAGACAGTATCTATATGAGTTAATCACTTTAATAACTGTAAACTTAATATTTCTTGCATCTAACTTCTTGTTCAGATAATTTATCTTAATATTGTACAGGTTTTTGCCTGGCGCAGGTGGCTCAATGGCAACAGCACCACCTGGCTCAGGCTACCCTTCCTCCAGGGGTGGAGGTTCAAATCCCTCCACAGGCACTACTAACACTTTTTTGCCTGCTAAAGAAGGTGATAAAATTCAGATAGTTTTAGCTCTATTCTCAACTAAAAGCCAGAAGTCTTTAAAGGCTATCTTTAATTAGAGAATAGCTTTAAAGACTACCTGACTGGCTGGAACCCTTGCTGCCCCACTGCATGCAAGATGAGAGGCATGCTTGGCCAATTAGCTGCATGCTTGATTAGTGGCTAGCAGGGGAACTAGCTAGACAGAGCACCCCAGATCTATCTTAGCTCTCCAAGGTTGTGTGTGTAGGTTCTAGGTAGAGGCCTCTGCTTAGCAATAACTTAAAGCTAAGTCTTAGATATAGTATGGAGAAGAAAAAAACTATAGAATAGCTGGTTAATTCCAGGGATGACCAGGCCCCCTGGGGTGAAACTGCAACAGCCAATTAGTAGGCTGAGATACTGAGATTGGTAGCTGGAAGTCTGGAATTTGAGGTGGGCAGCAGCCCTTAGCTAGGGAAGCAGTACCTGCTAGAGGGCCTGACAGGACAGATGCAGCAGTCAGTTGCTATAGGCATTGTATATAGTAGCTTAAGGTGCAAAGCCATTGGTAGGAGGAGCTGCTATCCCCCCTGCCAAAGTAAGATTTAATAGACTATGTAAAAACTATGCTTATAGACTATTAAAAATGCCAAAAAAAATGCAATCAGAGAAAGAGTATCTTCAAGCTTTCTACCATATAATAATAGTGTTGATCTTGATTAGAGAAGGTTTTTAGACTAAAATGAATCAGAACTAAATAATGAATATGTTGAATAAACATCAACTAAAAGAAAAAAAAGAAAAATCAATAAACAAAAAAAGTATTCAAGTCAACTATTTAGAGTTTGTTCAATGATTTCAAACATATTACCTTTTCTAAAAACGGAGAAAGTCAAAGCAAAATGGAATACACCTTGGTCTAAAAATCTAGCTGATTTAATAGATATTCAAATTGAAGAATCAGACAAGAAAACAGCTAAAGATAGTTATCTAAATAAAATTAAAAATCTAGATAATAGATCTTTAAGTCTCTATTCAGATAAATTAAAAGCTGAAGAAAATCAATATGCTAGTGCTTGTGTATACAATTTACAAGATAATATTAGATTCTCATAGTATCTAGACAAATATCTTAAAGTTTTTGATGCAAAACTGTTTGCTATAGATAAGATATTTAAATTAGCAAGTTCCATCTCTGAGTCTCAATCAAGATCAATATCAGGTATCTGGGTATTTTCTGATAGCCAAGCTGCTATTTAGAGACTCATGAATCAAGATCTTAATTCTGGCTTATATTATCTTTAATCTATAAGAACAACTGCTAAGTATATTAGAAATTAGCAAATTAATCTACATCTTCATTGGGTTTCTGCACATGTAAATATACATGGAAATGAAGAAGCTGATCTAGCAGTAAAAAAAGCTACAGAAATAAATCAAGTTTGTTCAGGGAGATATGTATCTCTTACTTATATAAAAAGATAAATAAAAGAATAAGCAATAATAAAGTGATATGAAGATCTTTTTCATAGAAAAAGCTCTACAAATCACTACTCTCAATTTAAAATAAAGTTCAGATAAAAAGCATCAGCTCTTTCTATATCTAAAAAGATATGATTAAGTATTTAATAATTAAAACTTGGTCATGGATATTTCAGATCTTATCTAGTAAGATGATCTGACTACTTTTCCAACTTATACTCTTTCTGTAATTGTGTTGAAAATTTAAAGCATCTATTATTAAACTGCTCAGCTTATTAACCTAAAAGAAGAAAAATTTAACAAGAACTTAATATTTCTCAACTATCTTTAAATTTTATTTTTGAAACTGACTTAGATTTAAAATAGCTAGTTTTATTTCTGAAATGTACTGAAATAGCTACTAGACAGTAGCTTTTTCAAACATATTAACTTTGTTTCTTTAATTTGTATTATGCTGCTACAAGAATTTTGTTTTTCTTTGAAATTTATTTTATATACTATCTGTTATTTGACTTTTGTGAAGAAAGAACATCTCATATTATCTTGAAATACTTTGACTTTTCTCTTTTTCAGTTTCTACAATGTACACTAAATAAATCTTAACAGATAAGCTACTAGATAGTCTTCATAGTCACTGACTGTATAAGACTATAATGAATAATAATAATAATAATAATTGTACAAGTTTAGTCAGATTTTATCTTTTACTTTAAAGTTTTATAAGAGTTTACAGATATAGTTAATATATTTCTCTTGTTCATGTTAAGCAGCAGTTGTTACAGACTGAGCTTATTTAATGATATTCTGTAATTTATATATAATAGTCTCTGCTTGCTTGATGAAGTTGTACAGAGTTTAGTTTGTAGATGAGATATTAATCTCAAGATTCAGAAAGCTTATATTATAATTATATATTAGAAAAAAGAGGCTTACTTCTGTTGCTATAGTATTGTGATATTAATTGCTAGCTTAGCTAGTGATAGTTACTAAACTCAGTTATTCTGTATAAAATTGATGAACTTTCTAAGATAGAATTTCAGTATCTGGTTCATGTGTGCTGTGAATCTGTCAGTCTTGAAATATGCAGTAATAAAGAGATATCTCTTAATCATTAATAGTTAATATAAGCAGATTCAAAAGCTACTCACAAATAATAACTCTTGATTGAAAACAATAGTTATAAATAATCTGTAATAATAATATATACTTTATATAAGCTAGATTTTTTACTTTGTGTAACTTTTTCTACACATATTTTTTCTAGAGATTCATTATCATGCTGATTCACATGTACAATTCTCATACAGATTAATTAGAATGATATTTTACTGATAATAGTTCATGCAGTAGTTACAGTTAGTACTAGTACCAAGATCTTACCATTTCAGATAATAAATAATAAATATAAATGAAGAATCCTTTTTAATTAAGAAGAGTAGCTACCAGAGAACATTTTCTTATTTTAAAACAGAAAAATCAGCTGTGAAAAAATTCAGAGATAGATAAGATCTCTACAGAAAATATGTTACCATGAGTTGAGATGTTGTATAACTTGCAGTTCTTTCTGAAATCTTTAGGTTATGAAAGGTATCAAAGATCTTCAAAGAGAATATAATATATTGAGTAGTAATTAATAATTCAATAATACTTTAGTTAAGTTGGCAGTCTTGCTCTAATGACAAAGAGTCTTTATACAGATATATTAGAGTCAGAGCAAGACTATTATACTTTCTCAAGAGTAGTAAGATTAGATACAATTATACAGTATCACAAGGCTTCAATAGTATAAAAAGTAATGAAGATATGAAAGTATCTGATTTAAAGATATCTGTAAGATAGATAAAAAGATTAATTATAATAAACAAGTTTATTATATTACTGATAATAAGTATTCTTATATATATAATACTCTTCTGATAATACTTATAATACTTTCTTTTAGATTACTTGTATTGTAGTATTATAATATATAATACTCTCTTTTTTATATCTTATTTTACTTATATTACTCTTGATTATGTGACTCTCTGTTTTAAGATTTCTCTGCAACAGTTTGTAACTTTATTTTGTTAAATCTTATTTAATCATTCTGTATCTTCTGCAGTTGTATTACAAGATTCATAACATCATTCTCTTCTTTTATAGTATATTGTTTCCAACTGCTCTGTCTTTTTATTTCTAAGATATAAAAGAGTAATTTTTCTTCTCTGATATCTTCTTGTGTTTCTTTTTCTTAAGTAAGTATTTTATAGCTTAGCCATAGCTTTCAAGTTCATTATTCACAAGAATACTTTAATTACTAATATTGAGAAATCAGGTTTTATTATAATTTTCTCTTGTGTTTGTTGTTCTTCTCTTAATAAGATATGTATTATATCTTCTCATTTTTTTTAGTACAGTGAATGTGTGTGTTCTGGTTATTTATGTATATGTGACAATAGTTCTTCTGCTAAGAAGTAGTGTTCTCTTGAGAAAGCTCAGAAAAAACTGAAGTTAGAGAAACACCAAGTTTTCAAGAAACAGATTTATATTTTCTTGAAACTTCTTCATCTTCAAAAACAAGAGTCTCTTCTTAAATAT